TTCAGATGATCAGGCTTGCTGACATGGTTGACACGATGATCACTCGATTGTTTGGTCCAAATTATTGGTTATTTACAGACTGCCGTCATATAGCTGGAGTATTGCCTTAGACAACAAACAAACAAGCAAAACAAACATGTTATCTTAACCAGTTCTGATCACTGGATTGTATTTGGTCAGACTCGATTATTTACAGACTGCCACCATATAGCTGCAATATTGCCGAGTGCAGCATTAAACAACAAACAAACAAACCTGTGCTGGTCGTAAGAAGTGACCATGAACCTGTTGTTCAGGCACCGTGACCCGTTTGTTCAGTCACCTTGACCCGATGTCATCGTGACCTATAGACATGGAATATTACCGAGTGTGACATTAAACAAAATACAACACATTAAAGTTCTCTAGATTTGAAATTTTGCACCAGAACATCAGTTTATCTATTAATGTATTGATAGAAAAAGAAGAAATCTTTTTTCCAAACATATGAAGATGGTATTACATCCATGACACAGCCTTCACTTGAAATATTTGGCTGGCATGCAATCGCCGACCTAATTGTTCTTTGAAGGAATTCAATCAGGTTGTGCGGGTATTTCCATTTACGGGGGATAAATCGATTGAATCTTGAACCATGCAAAGCAAAATATTTCTGGAAAAAACATAATGTATGCAAATAGCTTCTGAACAATTGAAATTTGATGAATAAAAACTAATTTTTGATTTGTTTATGGCATGAATAATTATTGTGATTAAGACTAATGTATCGGCAGAAACAAATTGGAGTAATTGTGTTTTTCAATTTAATAAATGCAGCTAGAATTATTTAAAAAATCACCTTTTTCACAGCATGGGGCAGCAATGTAGGGGCTGTTTCAAAAGCAAAAGATTCAAATAAGCCTTTGATGAGACCAGCAAGGATCATGCTTATTTTACAAAATTAATAACTTCTTGAAGAAGTTTAGAATGAGGAAATTGGTCATAATTTGTTCTGGAACGCATTACTGAATGGTGTGGCAAGTTAGATGAAACACTGGGGGTCCCCATGATGCACCTTTTTCACCTGGCAGGTGTACAATTCAGGTATGACATGAAACCAGTGTCATTTGATTACAAACGGGGGAATGTTTGATGGAGATTCCATGTTTATATAATCCTCAAGCCACCCGTGCTGGTTGTAAAATGTGACGAGGGGGATTGCTTCCATCATTATGGGTAATATTATTGTATATTTTCCATGACTGGTTTCACTGGTTGGAGTTGGTCCGGCATTTCAGGCTTTCACAATGAACTCATCTGATATGTAGGTGGAAATATGTCCCAGGGGCATGTACCTTATGCTTGGTGTGTTACAAATGAGGATTGAGTGGTTGGGTTAACTGGGATGGCTAATTGGCATCATATTGGCATCCTATTTCATACTGGCATCATATTGGCATCATATTGACATCATATTGGCTTTATATTGGCATCATATTGGCATCATATTTCATATTGGCATCATACTGGCATCATTCCACACCTGGAAATGTTGACTTAATGGCGCTCCTATGCTTGACTGCAAACAGGCTATCAGGTTAAAGTGCAATTCCGATCTGTCGTAACTTATTAATGTCCCATTGCATCTTTCACAGGGTTAATATCTTGTTAGAGGTAGTCATCAAGTCATAATGAAAGATTCTGTGTGTGTCACAAATATAGGTACTTTTTGATGATGATGATGAGGATGAATTAGTCGTTGAATAAGTGGAAACTTTGAACTATGCACCCAGTAATGTTGATATAAAGATTATTCAGGCACAGATGTCCAATTTTCGCTGCTGAGAGTTGTCTTCAAGCATGTCTGAAACCTTCGAATCTGGTGTGTCAGAATGATGTTTCATGGGTGGCAAAATGGCAAATGACCCCTCCTTCCACATGAAGCTAACGTTCTGTGATATAACTGAAATACATTTCTCAAGCATGTTTGACTGGATGCAGATTATTGCATCATTATAAATGAGAGAATGGATGTAAATACTTAACTTTACAACCCCTGTAGAACACAAACGATTTGACTTTTTGAATCAGAAATGTACAAAAAATGTCAAATGCATGTTATATAGGTTTGATATTTCCACTCACTCACTCATTACCCACCCATCCACCCACACACTCACACCAAACTCTTCCTCATTCTCATTCACCCACTCACTCACTCACTCTTAACCCACTCATTCTCAGTCACTCACTCACTCACAACCCACCCACTCACTCATAACCCACTCGTTCTCACTCACTCATAACCCACTCGTTCTCACTCATTCACTCAAAACCCACCCACTCACACCAAACTTCTCTTCTAACTCACTCACTCACTCATAACCCACTCATTCTCACTCACTCACTCACTCATAACCCACTCATTCTCACTCACTCAGCCACCCACCCACTCACTCACTCACGCCAAACTCACTATTCCTGCTAACAGAACCTGCACTTCAGTAACAGCCAAGCTGCAAAACATGGAAACATACACCAAGAGCCCCTGGCCACCATTCCAATCCAGTATGGAATCTCCCTATTGTTACAGCTCGGAGCAATGCTGCTACTTAAAGTGACAGTTAATTTCGGGAAATGTTTTAAGAATTTGCCACACCCGGGGTTTTGTTTTTCTCCAACTCTGCTGTGTGTGTGTGCCTTTGTCAATATTTATTCCCCTCTGGCACACAGATAACAGACAGGTAGATGACAGGATACAAACAACAACAGGCGAGATAACCGACAGAGATGTGCCAGGAAGTGAACGATGGAACTCAGATGGTTCGTCTTCCAAGCAAGTTTATTGTTATAGGATCCCAGCTCTCTGTGGCAATATTTTGTTATCTTTATTGATTGAACTGCAAAACACAATTTCAACTTTTGAATGAAGGCAGTGAATGAAAAAAGGATCAAATTTTGTTTTGGTTTTCCTGATACAATTCTACTTTGGCTTTAATTACTTAGACCAAAGCTTGGCTTGTGACTAGATGCTTTTTAAGTTTCAACACTCAAGTTTTTGCAATCAACAATTTGCTAAACATATATATACTCCTAAAGTGTGTACTTTTGAAGAATAATTATTTACATAGACCATGAGTGTGATAATTAAGCAATCCTAGGTAATTGGGGGTGACGGGCATTGGTCAAAGGTTCAAGGACGTCCTCAAGGTCATAGCCTGTGAAAGAGCTTTTTTACTTCCAAGGTTAAGAGGCATCTATTTTAGGTCATTGGAATATTGCTAAAAGCGGTGTATCAGTCAGTGTCCATGGGTCATTGTTAGAGCTGGACTGTGACCTGGCAAGGTTATCAGTGATGTATATAAGGTCAAGGTCATGAGTGTGTGTCTCACAGCGAGCGTGTTCCCATGTCGATCATGATCGTGGGGGTTGTGTCTGTCACTGCCGATATGCTGGTCGTCTGTCCTCTGTAGCCATCATCCCTGCACACTCAGTTGTCCATCCCCTACCGTCTTGGCCAGCAGTCGTAGGTTTGACTCCATCATGTTTTGCTGCAAGGGCTTGTCACTCTGTATATACACATTGTGAAAATTGTCAGTGTCTTTCTACATTATTTTCCCCGCTAGAATTGATCTTTTATCTTCGGTCGACTTACACTCAGCAATGATCACACCTTGGGTTAAAGGACTGATGGGTTAACATTAAAAGATCTCATGCATAAATTGAGATCTTTTAATGTTTAAACCCATCTGTGATGTCATCTTTTTATGTAGCATTTATTCAGAGTATTTTAACATTTTCCTTCCATTGTTGGTACGGGTCTCTCTCAGTTCATCTCAAATCTAAAATAGACAAAATTGTTAACACTGCAAGTAAAATCGCTGGAGTCAGATTTGAATGTTTATCATCAATATATGAGCAGCAAATCGTGAATCAAGCTGTCAAAATCATATCTGACTGTACTCACTACTTAAATTTGGAATACAACCTTCTCCCTTCAGGCCGCCGATACAAAGTTCCAATTGTGAAAACTAAGAGAGCCCGTACATCCTTTATTCCAAGTACCATATCTCTCTTAAACAAATGTGAAGATATCTAAATCAAGAATTTATGTAAATATGTTTTGTATCTCTCTAATGTGTCAGTAGCTCTGCTGATGTAACACAAATTCCTGAAAAGGCATTAAAGTATTATTCTATTCTATTCTCTCCGCCTTTATCTCTTGAATCTCTGTTAATTTGAGACCATAACTAATCAACTTGTTAATTATGCTCACCACATTATCTCAATTTGACTGCACCAGATTTCTAATCACAATATTCATGTGTATCGCGTTGTGTTGAGTAACTGCAGTATCACGGGCACATGTAACTTCTGAAAAATCTTGTGAGGTGGCCACACCCATTTTATTTTAAACAAATGGAAAAACTTTTCACTCACTTTTCTCATCCGATGATTTCCAGGGCAGTTGAAACTGGAGTAAACACTTTCAACACTTATAAAGTGTCCAAACTTTTAAAAGTCAGATTTTGTTCAAAAAAAGAAGAGCAGAAAAACGACCAATTTCTCACTCTCAAGCATGTTTATGCATATGTATTGTTGTTGTTTAACACACTCAGCAATATTCCAGCTATATGGTGGTGGTCTGTAAATAATCAAGTGTGGCCCAGACAATCCAGTGATCAACAGCATGAGTATCGATCTACGCAACTGGGACAGGCTGACTGTCTGTATTATAAAATGAGTGAGGCGGTGGGGTAGCCTAGTGGTTAAAGTATTCACTCATCACGCCGAGGACCTGGGTTCGATTCCCCACATGGGTACAATGTGTGAAGCCCATTTCTGGTGTCCCCGCCGTGGTATTGCTGGAATATTGCCCAAACTAAACTCACTCATTCACTATTCTAACAGGAACCATTTGGGGATTTCTGGTAAACATTTTTTCACCATTTAGGAAACTTATAGTGTGAACTCTTGGTACCAGGATGTTATATTAGTTGACTGATTTCAGTATCTTTGTGGGGCGGTGGGGTAGCCTAGTGTTTAAAGCGTTGGTTCATCACGCCGAAAACCCGGGTTCGATTCCCCACATGGGCAGAATGTGTCAAGCCCATTTCTGGTGTCCCCTGCCGTGATATTGCTGGAATGTTGCTAAAAGCGGCGTAAAACTAAACTCTGTCAGTCAGTCAGTATCTTTGTGTAGACTTTGTCAGCCTGTTCCTGATGTCATTCACCGATGACACGCACCAATGTCACAACCCCCATCCCACCCCAATAAATTTCGTCATGAAAATAATTATATGTAATTCCCTTTTTCTGGTTGTTGACAAAATATCGGTAAAACATCTCTAATGTCTGCAGCATCGCCATGTCATTCTTTATGCATAGAAGCACAGATTAGATGCTAGGTTCAAACGGGTGAAAAAACCCTCATCATATTTCTTGTCCTGGAATATGTGACACTGTACGTCATTCTTGTTTACCCTGCACAAATTCCATGGTTGTATATCACAGCACCACCGACATATCAACATGCACCCTGTGGACACATGCGCAAAAATCAAGATCATAAACGTGTCTCCTAGAGGATACAAATGTTTGGGGAACTTGTCTCATCTGAAAGAAGCGTCCAAGATGCTGTCGTGAGCAAGATGTTGCTGCAGTGCAAGTGCCGTTATCGAAGCTCTATCAACATCGTAACTCTGATCTATTGTGTTCGCTGTCACTGATAGCCGACAAAGGAGAGAATCTGCAACACTGCTCAACCCTTTTAGTCAATCTGTACCAAGAACGTTCATGATAAAATCAGACGGGCAAATTTCTTGAGTTGATTAAATCTGGAGACTGCAAAAAATAGCTTGCAGTCTGTTACATTGATTAAATCTTTAAGATAAAGTCTCTGCCCGTTGTTTTATGCAATTCAAAATTGCAGCGGTGCATTGATCGTACCTTCGTGTTATTGTTTCCCAATTTGGCGGCCATTAGTGGATGTTTAATCAATTTGTGCCTGCTGATCCCAGACTCGACTCCTGGTCAGCGACTACAGCGATTCGGTAATGTTCCGAAGTCACTCAAATCGCTATTAATGGAATACCGCTGTCTGATCAGTTTGATGTCTGTGTAGGAAGGTGGAATGGCCAATGAATGCATCCTAATGCCGGTTTAGCATATACATGACTGTTTTATTGTGTTTGGGGCTTGTGTCCCAAGGTGTCGATTACAGAACATCGGCTCCTCCATGTTTTCTTTGAGGGAGACTGGATCAAATGTTTGGAAGTCTCTTGGGGTATATAATCATTTCACATTTAGGGGGATTACATATTTACTTAGATTGAGAATGTATTTTGAAAATATTGCATACTGAAGTTTTATCGTGTTTACGATCATCATGGGTAAAATAACATTATATTAAGAATTATTAATCCAATGTCTAGTCATGTAATTTGATATGCATTTTGAACTCACAGAATTTGATATATTACTGTATTAGAATGGAAGAAGTTTGGTTGGAATCAAGTTTTTCTTTTTTTCTGTAGTGACGTGATTTTCAGCAGTTTGTCACTGGTATCAGTAAACAACATTACCACACTAGTTTTGAAAACACGATCTTATCTGATTTTCAAAGTCTTCTGGTCTTAATTAAAAGAAACTTCTCTAACAATTACTGAAGATAAATCTTTTTGTTAAATTGCTTTGTAGTCTCAGCAAGCATGTGAAGAATGAAAATTACAAGGATTCTTGTAAATGAGGACTAAAAAGTTGGAATTAAAAACAAAAGACTTTGATGTATCGTCACAGCTAAATAAACACCATGATTCCCATCTGTGGAGACTGCGGATGCTGTGCTAATGTAGTTTGTCTGGTCATACAGACGCTGAAACAAATATACCTAATATAGCCCATGGAAGTCGAAAATATGTTTCAAGTTGAGATCTTTCAAGTGCCAGTTACAGAAAATGAAGAAAGTCTCTGGGCTCCTTTTTAACTTTATGAATATAATATAGAAACTAGTGTTGGGAATTGGTTGAAATCTCACAATTGATGATTGCTTCATTACCAACGAACAATCATCGAAAAAAATTGGTTAGCATCATTTTTCAGATTTTCCTATCCAGGTTGTTATTGCAGATATGTATGACATGATGCAACTTGCTACTTTAAAGTGATGACTAATATATCATGAACATAAACTTCCCGGAGTCTTCAAGAAATATTCAGTCATGACTTTTCAGTTAGTGAAGTGAGTTTTCTAAGAATTAAACAAGTTTGCAGGCCCCGACAACTTCGAAGATATGTTCCATCGTCAAGTGTTTCAAAGACTAAAACAGCAGTTCCAAAATCGTTTTGTTCGATTATGAGAAAATGTGATCGATTGCTTGGTCGTTCGGTCACTGCGACCAATCTTCGATTTTTTCAATTAATCGGAACACCACTAATAGAAACTGTTTTGTTTTGGTAAAATATGTTCATTTGAGAGACTAGATGTTGGTCTATGCTCAAGGATGACTGATGGGGTGTCAGGGAACATTCCAGTACTGATGTATATCAACTAAACCTATCCATATATCTATTAACAATACTTTAACATGTAGTATTTATACAGACAACATTTCCCAGTAAACAAGATTCAAGTTTCTGTTAGGGATGTTGGAGATTGTAGTATATAGTTGCCCATGTTCTTCAATTCCTGAGCTAAAGTTTGATCATTGGAAGATGACGAAGACAGAGGAGAAATCTATAATATCGGGAAGGGTCATTGAATAAATGGAAAATTGTTATCCTGAGAAATGGTATTTGTGCAATTTTCATTTTTGAGAATGCCTTAGCAATCAATACATGATGTCCTCAAGAATCACTGAAAAATGTGGATAATGATTTTATGTTGTTAAATCAACCACTAGGATTCTGAGTAACAATATTGGTCCCTAGCAAAGTGTGTTGGTCGTAAGAGGGGACCAAATTGATCAGGTAGCCATCTTGGTGACTTGTTGATTGTGTGTCATTGTAGCTTGACAGGAGGAATCGTTGCTCACAATATTGATCTTTGGCTGACACGCAATCACACTAGACATCGATCCATTTAGTCGCCTCTTACACCAAGTGTAGTTGACATGAACCTACTTTCATACACAGAATATCATTGGTTGAGAGTCTGTAAGGTCCAGGGATGGAAAAGCAATGTTTTCATTCTGTAAGTTGGATAAACTTATGACAAGGAATGGTATGGATTGTAACTTCTTCCTCACATTCATACAATAAAGTGAAGGAGTGAGTTTGGTTGAAAGTCGCTGTTAACAGTATTCCTAGCCTGTCTCACAGTCCCTGAACTGCATCATTTTCCCTTCCGCCCAGTCCTTTCTGTAGTGCAATAGCCTTTAATGAAGCAAGTCTAGATTTCCTCAGGTAGCCTGTCTCACAGTCCCTGAACCACATTTTTTCCCTTCCACCTAGCCCTTTCTGCAAAAGCCCTTAATGAAGCAAGTGTAGATTTCCTCAGGTTCTGAATCTCCTATCTTACAAGGAATCCTTTTCAATTTAAAAGGAATTATTTGTTTCTATCATAATTATATATTTCCAGAGACTAAGAGTTTACAGTACTCCAGTTGGTTGGCTGGCATGTTGTTTAACACCGCATTCAGCAATATTCCAGCTATATGGCGGCGGTCTGTAAATTATCGAGTCTGTACCAGACAATCCAGTGATCAACAGCATGAGCATCGATCTACGCAATTGGGATACGATGACATGTGTCAACCAAGTCAGTGAGCCTGACCACCCGATCTCATTAGTCGCCTCTTACGACAAGCATGGGTTACTGAAGATCAATACTAACCCAGATCTTCACTGATGGTATTCTAGTTACATCACAGCCTGTCAGAGTGGGAAGAAAGCCTGAATTGATGCAGGTTTCTAACAGTAAAGTAGTTGTTATCCATAATAATCCCTGGCACTTGATGGCTGCTTGTTTGCCTCATCGTTCCAATCATTCCAAATGTTTTAAGTGCTGCTCAACATTTATTAAGTTTCAGCAAGCGTGATTAATTCGGAAAAAACAAAACTCAATTGATCAAATACAGCTCTGCATGTTCAGGGCCTTTGGTATAGAATAAGCAATGACATTTTTGACAAACAGCAGCGAAGTTGTCTTTTCTTATGTGGAGATAAATACCAAGGTTGAGACCTGTTGAACACATGTTGGAAACAGGAACTGTATCATTATTGGATTTGCAATCTACCACAGGGGCAAGTATGGCAAGTCAAGCCATATTTTGTCTATGTGGTTGGCTGCGGGCATATGTGGGTGGTTTATCATCGGCTAAGATGTAATCACCAGTGCTATGATGTCTCCCCTGGGATAACATTTATGACTTTATTTAATGTCAAAATATTGGGATGGAGCTGGGTACTCCCCTATCTCAGCAGATATGCAGTTATCAAGATGGCCGCCGGGATCCAAGATGGCTGCTGACAAGAAGCAGACGCGAATGTTGTTGACATAGATTGAGTGTTTATACAGGTCAGCCTCAGACAAAACAGGTTTTGTGATAAGTTTCATGAAAGAGTATCATTGAAATGGATGATTATTTATCCTTTGATGCTACTGGGGCGTTTGAGAATAAGCACACTGAGTGACTAGGATGCTCTTTTCATACTGACATTTGTTGGTGTTGGTCAGATGGAAATCTATATGTTTTTGGATAGATTGTTAAAGAGTAATGTCGGTGATAAAGTGCAACTCAAAACATCATGCTATTTAAAAGGGGAAATTGTTTAAAAAGCCAAATGCAGTTTTTAGAAAGAATTTGTCATTTCATGTAATTATTTCATGACCATAAACAATAAACAACGATACAGGCAGGTGCTGGTGCATTCAAGTCATAGTCATATTAGCCAAGGGCACCTCAACCTGTCAAGTAGATTGTGTAATAGAGGAAACGTTTCATTTTGAAGAGACATTTTACAATTTGCAATCACCTAACACACATACAGAGCCCTCTCCTTTGGTGTATGTCATTATCATGTAATGACTGCGGTCTTTTTTGGACACATATTTTGAGAAATGTTCAAAACGTCAACCTCGTTCAAACTATTGATTAAGACATTAATGCCACTAGATTGAGATATCAGAATTCCAGAGGAAAAAAATCAATTGTATAATTTTCACATTACAAATTTGACTTGGCACTCTTATTGATGAAGATCACATGTTAATGTTATGTTATCCATATGGGTTAAAAAATATGATGTTTAAAGCTATGATGCCTTCTCATACAGTCCTTTATGCATTTTTGGCAAAGCCTTGACAAGTTGAGTCGGTATCTCAGAGATTCCATCAACTATCAGCGTCATGCTCATTAAGCCTTGCGAGGACTTCAGAGAAGGGCTCAGTAATTGCCTCCAGCGCCCCTCTCTTTAAACCATCTTCCTGAGATGCTATCTCGGCGCACTTATGAAGAATCTGTCGAGTTCTTTGAATTTATCAGAAATGGAACAAATGGTTGCATCATACCAGGTGATATGCATCGTGAACGCTTCCGTTGTTTGATTGCAAATCCACATTTATCTATTTCATGCATTGAGTTTTGAGATGTATCGGTTGGATGTATGGCTTAGTATTCTTTTGTCGGGTTTACTAAAACTCACTATGACATTGTAGACAGGGCTCATTTAGAGTTTGGAATTGGAGTTTTATCATCATTTAGAGTTTGGAATTGGGGTTTCATCATCAAACTGTTGAATTAGTTTGTTCCAGTTGATGAGTCGTGCAATAACTGTTTATTAGTTTGCATAATTTTCGATAAATAATTTGTCAATAAATAGGTTTTAATCATGATTTCAAATTGAGCAATAATTTTCATTATATCTGAACATAATCATTATGAACATTTAAACACATTCAACAGTCAAACAGACATCTTCAAAAACTGTTTTATTTTAGAAAAAGGGGTTTTTTAAATTTGAAAGGAAAAAGGCGCTTTGCGGCACTAATACCTTTGAGATTTGTTGGGAAATGATTGTAAAATCCTGGTTTAACTGGTCCAGAGATGGCCAGTGTGGAATGTTCCTTATTGGAGTGACCCGTGAAGATCCGGGGTAGAATAGGTCTTCAGCAACCCATGCTTGCCACAAAAGGCGACTCTGCTTGTCGTAAGAGGTGAGGGGCGGTGGGGTAGCCTAGTGGTTAAAGCGTTGGCTCGTCACACCGAAGACCCGGGTTCGATTCCCCACATGGGCACAATGTGTTAAGCCCATTTCTGGTGTCCCCCGCCGTGATATTGCTGGAATATTGCTAAAAGCGGCGTAAAACTAAACTCAGTCAGTCGTAAGAGGCGACTAATGGGATCGGGTGGTCAGGCATGCTGACTTGGTTGACACATGTCATCGTATCCCAAATGCGCAGTACGATGCTCATGCTGTTGATCACTTGATTGTCTGGT